GGGGCTTTAACATTTAATCTTGAGAAAACTAAGGCCTTTTGGTAGTAGGCAGTACATAAAGATATTACTATTCTTGAGTTTTCAATCCAAATAATCTTCCCATATCTTATGTAACACATCTACTGTATATTAGCAAAATACTTTACATCATGTACCCATAGAGTCTTCAACTCATTTAACAAAAATTACTCAAGTCGTTTTCATCTTAAAGTCAAGGTAAATGAGGCTTTTAGTTTGAAAGTTTTTCATTTCAACCAACCAATCAACCTAAAACTTTTCTCATATAAATCTCTTTAAGTCCATACTTACTTTTCTATTTATATTTCGGATTATCTTTGAATTCGATGAATGTATTAAATGTATATTATCAAAAATATTTTTCTCTATATGTATCATTATCCAAGTTATTGTCGGAATCAAGATTTGATCTTATAATATTGAAATAACCCAAAAATACTTTTTTTTGGTTGAATTATGATTACCACCATACACTGGCTAATTTTTAAAACCAATGTTGTTAGAGAATCCACTATAATAGGCATGAAGCTTACTCTTTCAAAATATTTCTACACTAGTGAATCTAGGGGGATATTTAGCCATCACCATTTTATTTTTAGAAGACATCCTTATTTTGCCTAGAAAAAATGACTTGTAGGTTAAGAACATGCAGTAATAATCAAAAACCAAGTGTTCTTTACCTCCATGATTTTAAATGACCTGAAATTTGTATATTCCATTAAAATATGGGCAAGTTAAGCTTACCAGATATTTTCTAACCTGAGTATATCATATGCTGGAAGCCACCAATTATTCACAAAGTTAATGGTTAGCCCTCAGTTATGAAGTTTTTTTGGGTGGTGATATCATATATTACTTTCTCCCTCTCTCATTTAATCAAATTTAAAAATAATCAGATTAGCAATTGTAAGAATTATATTGATCTTTATTTTTTGATTATGTTGCCTTGGAAAGAGTAAGAATCAAAAAATATGCAAAGGAGTATTTCATACACAACTCTAAAGAAAGATCTATAAGGGGTGAGTATTCATAGCCAGCCTGAGTAAAGCTAAAGTGCAGATGGCTAAATGGAAATATAATTATCTTGCACATCATCTAATCTTATATTTCTTGATTTCATGGAAAAAAAATGGGACGTGTATGTCAAAGTGTTTCCAAGCCTCTGTTTCAAACAGATGTAAGTTAACTCCTTCTTGACGATATGTGTTTATTATGTCATTCTCATATTGTGTAGCTATCTCGATGGATATCATATACTATTGTAATCTAGGTATTATGGGTAAAAAAAATATCCCTACTGACCTAGTACTTTTCAGCTTCTTTTTTATCCCAAAAACTGGTTTAAATCTTGGTGGCATTGTAATAGTAATATGTAATCTCTAATATAATCATCCTTGTATAGTATATCAGCATCCATTAACATAATAATCAATCTTTGTGTTATGTCAACCCAAGTTGGAAACCCAAGTTTTTTATCCGATAAAAGTATATGAGGAATATGTGTATTTCCAGGTTGGTTTCCTTAAATAGCGCCAGACGATATTGATTAAAACATTCATAGGCGGATTATATATTATTCTACCGTGAATTTTATTCATCTTTCAAAAAAATGGATAACTCGTAGAAGAGTGGTGCACCCCATTTTCAAACTAGGTTATTGGGAAGCGATCAAACAATATCATAAAAATTATTCATTCTTTGTTTAATACTCTTCTATTATATTGTTCAAATTGTTGCTCTAATTACATCATGAACTAAGTCCTCAAATATATTCATATATTTTCCCTGAAGCTATTATTAGAACTTGTTAGGTGACCACATCGAGAATCAAAATTTGGCTTGTACTCCACCATTAAAAAGTCCAATACCGAATATTTTCTAGTTATGAATCCTTCAGTATAGATCGACAAATGTACAGTCAATTCTATCTTATGCTCACATGTGATTTATATTTAGATTATGGGCATTCAAAACGTTTCATCTAAGATGAAGCTAAGGGATGTAGTGAGAAGATGTTCTAAATGAATATTCACCCCTATTAATGAACCTTTATGTTAATATCTTTCTCCCTATGCAAATAAGTTATACATCTAACTTCTTTGATTTCTAATATCCTTAATATAAGCCTAAGAATCAACGCCTAAGAAATTGATTTTAGGTTGAACCCTAGTGAGGGTGTTAGACTAGGCAATGACTTGAGCTAAAAAAAATTGAACCATCAACCTTTATATTGATGATTATCCCACAAATATAAATCAAGCTCTTCAGATTTGGCTATTATAGGCAAGAATTAAATCAATTTTAGAAATGATATTTGGGAAATTAATTGGAAAGGCCTAAAAGATCAAAGTATTTGGTTTGGAACTAAGTGGGTGTTTAAAAATAAAAATAAGATATTTGATATTATTGTAAAATCCTATGTAGGAAAATATATGAATTTTTCAAAATTTTTTTTTTGTAAAGATATAATGGTGTATTTAACATCATGTACGCTGGTAAATGAAAAATCTCTAGTGAATCTCTCATTGTCTTCACCCATTTAGGGAAATACAAAAGGGTTTTAAACATGCCACACATCAAGAAAGATGTTGCTATTACTAGTTAGGTGAAGTCACCTTCACTGTCGGGCTTTCAATCCTACTACGCCAATAAAGGATGGTATAGGTCTTCGTCCGGTGAAGGGGATACCTAAATGAAAATAAATTTGTTCATTGAGGATATTCCGGGTTAGATTTCTTTTCGACATTAAGCCAAATCCAATACCTCTACACCTTTCTTTAACAAAGCAAAATCAAAGTACCTTTTTACTTTTTTAACCCTAATTTTTATTTAGGTTTGAGGGATACTTTTCGTATCACATAGATAGGTATGATGAAATCTCTCTCTACTTTAACCATCCAACTTGAATTTGTACTAATAATATCCCCGATCTATTTTAACCATTGCCTTAGAATAATTTGATTTGAGAAATCTAAAAACATTTGACTCAATTAATAATGGTCATCATAGGAGCCACCATTTTATCTCAAGCATTCTTCACTCCTTAACACTTAACTTTATGCCTTCTCTTTAATTGTCAACATTTATGCACTATAAAGTATTTGCAAGTCTTGCCCACTCATTCTTATAGATTTTTTTTCTTTAAGTTTTGATAGAACCTTTCTAATCATACAAATTAGGATGATATATTCCTCCACGTTCAAACCATCCAACGTTGAATACTCAGACTAATAATATCCCCATCATTTTCACCATCACAATGAAATAAAAACTTTGAGAAATATAAAAAACATTTCACTCATTTCTAATGATTTTATCACCAATATCCACAATTCCACCATTCCAAATGTCTTACTAAAATCCTTAAATGGAAGAAGATAAACATAATATACATCTGTACAAACGACCATATTGATGCGAGGCATCAGTAAAAAATGTTTGGTGGAGAGGCAATCGGATGGAGGGCGTGAACAAAAACAGCTATCAACAACGGATCTACAAGTTCGTTGATGTAGGCATGATGGGGGGCCAAATTTTTCTATTTTTTGCTCCAGGTTATGCCCATTAGGATGGTTGGGTTGGCCGCCCCATACAATTGTATTAATGCCTTTTGTAAGCTAAAGTTTTCTTCAAATTTGCTAGGAAGCCCTCAAAGAAAAGAATTACAGCAAACCATAAAACTCAACAATAACATTCTCTAAACCCTAGACAAATCCCCCTTAAATAGCCCTAGAATATTAATTCATAAATAGAATTTTCCTAAACAATCAAACATAATTTAGGAAACATTTCTAAACAATTAAACATGATTTATGAAACCTTCCTAAACAATTACACATAATTTTGAAAACCTTCTTAAACAATTAAACATAATTTAGAAAATCTTCCTAAACAATTAAACATATTTTTAGGAAACATCCCTAAATAATATTCCATCTCTTATTTAAATTTAAATTGAAAAATTTTTCCTAATAATTCCCTCATTATTCCTCATAATATAATGAATCACAATTTTGCTGGGCCCCACAAAGGGGGGCCGAATTTTTCTATTTTTTGCTCCAGGTTATGCCCATATGGATGGTTGGGTTGGCTGCCCCCTACAATTGTATTAATAACAAATAACACCCCCCCCCCCCCTCCTAAACATATTTTCCTAAACAATTAAACATATTTTAGGAAATCTTCCTAAATAATTAAACATATTTTAGGAAACATCTATAAATAATATTCCATCTCTTATTTAAATTTAAATTGAAAATTTTTTCCTAATAATTCCCTCATTATTCCTCCTAACATAATGAATCATAGTTTTGGTGGGCCCCACAAAGGGGGACCGAATTTTTCTATTTTTTGCTTCAGGTTATGCCCATTCGGATGGTTGGGTTGGCCGCCCCCTACAATTGTATTAATAACAAATAACACCCCCCTCCCCCCTCCTAAACATATTTTCCTAAACAATTAAACATATTTTAGGAAACATCCCTAAATAATATTCCATCTCTTATTTAAGTTTAAATTGAAAATTTTTTCCTAATAATTCCCTCATTATTCCTCCTAACATAATGAATCACAATTTTGCTGGGCCCCACAAAGGGGGGCCGAATTTTTCTATTTTTTGCTCCAGGTTAAGCCCATTCGGATGGTTGGGTTGGCCGCCCCCTACAATTGTATTAATAACAGCCCCCCCAAGGTGGGACGAAAGATATTGCTGTGGAAGCACTGGTTTAATGACACTTCCATTTTTACTGCTAATAAAATAGGGCTTCTCAGTTGACTCATGCTCTTTTTTTTTAGAGTTGGCAAACAGAAAAGAGGAATCGTGCTATTAGATAGGTCTCAAACATGCTGTATTTCCATGTTTATAAATGCTAGAAAATGAATGCTCTTCCGCCTTCAAAATCTATTTCTTTCATGCCTTTCCTTCTATGATGTCTACCCCACAAACCAATGAGCAATAGAGCATGCTCAGAAAGCCTAAGAGCTGCGAATAATGTCTGTGGATCTGAGGAGATTATTGCAATTGTGAAACATAATAGGTGTGTGTGCATGCTATTTTTATCATAGTTAGTGGGGAAACAAACCACTTCAGGATTAGGTTTTGTTCCATCCACTAGATGATTAAATAAAACATTAAAACCTTTAGGGAAGGGAAAAGATTGACTGACTGAAGCATTTCAGCACCGCCTTTTGTATGTTCCAATGTTAACAAGAAATTCAAGGCTATTGTAATTGAAGATCGAGAGATTATTTGACGTGCAATGTCCTTCTCTGCAAGAACTTTCTTTAACCTTCCACTCTTATGCATCTCATGAACTATATCAGATTGTCCAATTAACTCACCTTTTATGTAAAGCTGGGAAAATATAGACCAATTGGAAAGTTTTCAGACCCAACCTTACTTCCCTATTGGAAAGCATATTGAAGCTTTGAGACTCAATCTTCTCTTGCTTTAGGAGCTCAATAACCTTGCAGCTAAAATTACACTTAGGTGTTGTTTGGCAACAAGTAAGATTTAATTTTAGTGGGATTTAGTAAATCCTGTAAATCCAAATTTAATAAATCTAGAGGGTGTTAAATCTTGAAAATTATTTGGTATGACATGCTAATCCTGATAAAAATTTTTCGTTGTTAGGCAACGTAATTTAGGATTTAAGGTAGTTGGTTTATTTAGAAATTAAATTTGATGTGGTTTGAATTTGTTCATCTCTAACCAACCATAGCCAAATCGACCCACAAATCGTCAACCCACGACCCCACGTCATTTCATTCCCACGTTGAAGCAATCGTTGCCTCACTCATGTAAATAGAATAGAGAAACGACCAAATGGGATACACACACTTACGATCAGTTCTCGATTGATATATTCATGCAAGCATTCAAGCACATACATAAGATGTTTTTCTTCATTTGTTGTTGAATCTCAATTAATGACTTTTTTTATCATTGAAGATATAAATTTAGTTTTGATCATCACTTCGATGTCCTACACCCCCTTTAACACAATAAGCAAAATTCTTATAAATTGTGCTAGCTCCATCAATTAGTTTAGCTTCAACAATTATTGTTCTGGACTAATTGTTCTAGTGAGCTACAACAACAACAATAATAACAAAAAGCCTTTATCCCACTATATGGGGTCAGCTACATGAATCATTTTTCTCTATTGTGTCTTAGTAAGAGTCAAATTCTCATTTAAATATAATAAAAAAAGGTAATTTCTAATATTTTTTAACAAGACTTTTTAGGTCTACCTCTTCCTTTCTTAACATAGTCCAAATGTAATACATCTGCTCTCATAACTGGTTTATCAGAAGACCAACATTTTATATGACCAAATCATCTAAGATGACTCTCTCTAATCTTTATTTGCCACTGGAGCATTCTATTTCTAAGAGTGAAGCAACTCATCCACCAAAGAATCCTCATCTCTACAACACCAAACTTAATTTTATGCTGCTCTTTTAATGACCACCATTTCACGCATAAAGTAGTGCAGGTCTCACTACTATCTTATAGAATTTTTCCTTAAGTTTGAGGGGCACTTTTCTATCAAACAACAAGCCCAATGCATTCCTCTAGTCCAACCATCCAACTTGAATTCTACTAATAATATTCCCATTTATTTCACCATCACTTTGAACAATATACTCGAGATATCTAAAACGTTGCTCATTTTCTCTATACTTCTTCTTCAAACCTCTTAATAAATATATATCTTCCATAGTGGTCCTACCTGACAGGAATCCAAATTATTTTGAGAAACATTAGCATCACGTTGTAACCTATGCTCAATAACTTTATCCCAAAGTTTTAAAGTATGACACATTAACTTAATTCCTCTATAATTCACACACTATTGTGCATCACCTTTATTCCTAAAATTAGTAATCAACATACTCGTTCACTCATCTGACTCTTCAAAATAATATTGAAAGTTTTATAAGCCAAGAAATTCCTTCATCTCCTAAGTATTTCCATGCCTCTATTAAAATACCATTAGGTCTAATAGCTTTTCCCCACTTCATTTACCTTAAAGCCACTCTAACTTCGATTTATACCAATACGTCGATAAAATAAAAAATCTCTATTTTCATTTAGGACTATGGTCACTAAAATCAATCGCATTCTCACAATCTTCAAAACCTAAACAAATGTCTTCCTATTTGAAGTTTCTACTTTTACAGTAATTATTGTTATTTTGAGGAAATCATCTTGTTTCTTTAATTGCATGGAGGTCTCTTTTACAAATTTGTTCTTAAGTTGGCATCTTTGCAACTTAAAAGTTTAATTGATTGACCTGCAACAATTTAATTGATTGACCTGACTTTTGTTTGCGATACATTAGATTCTGCTAGAGTATTCCCAAAAGAAAATGTCCTCGGCTCTTTTGATCTTCTCAAGAAATTAATTTCCCTAATTTTACCTATTTTACTTTGTACACAATAATATATCTGCTGATTATTTGTGTGCTTTCAGCTTACTGGAAGAGTTGAGGAGAAAAGAAGATGGTCTGACGGAATTCATCAGGCAGTAGAAGCCAAAGAAGGCCTTAAGATTCAGGTGATTCTTTTAATTTGTTATTTTTATCTTACTCAACAACAAAATTACCTGAATTAATCCATCGAATTTCAAATGTCATTCTGTTCGGATATTTATGAGAAATTTGATTTTTACCAGGCTGATTCCGTTGTTGTGGCGCAAATAACATACCAATCACTCTTTAAACTTTATCCAAAGCTATCTGGCATGACAGGAACTGCTAAAACTGAAGTACGATGAAATATGGACTCCAATTGATATTTTTATTATTATCTTTCAAAGAAATAAAATATAAGGCAGATATACGTATTACATGCAGGAGAAGGAATTCTTGAAAATGTTTCAGATGCCAGTAATTGAAATCCCTACAAATCTACCAAATATACGGAAGGATTTACCCATTCAAGCCTTTGCTGTAAGTTATCTAGGAACTGGCTTTTCCTATGATTTGTTTATTTCATTAGTTGCCTTTCGTTGTGTTGTTTAGACTGCACGTGGAAAATGGGAACATGTTAGGGAAGAAGTTGAATATATGTTTCGACTAGGCCGCCCTGTTTTGGTTGGTACCACCAGGTAAATTTTTATCAGTCATTTGTGCATCTGCTGGCTGTTCTTTTAATTTTGCTTATCTTGTTTGGCTATAAAAATTCTTGTTTAGCTTGTTCACTCAGCTTATAATTTCTGGAACAAAAACATCATTCAAGACTTTTGATAATTAATATTCCATGACACAATAAACATAGAAACCTTCAAGTTATGATACCTTCGAATTTATATCAACTTTTAAACCTATCTGTAAGTTCGTTCCTGTAATTATTTTTCTTTAACATATTGATTGTCTTGAAATCATGCTTGGACGATGATCTCAGTCTTACTCATTATGTGCAAGAAGTTTTTGATACTTGGTTGAGCTGAGCTGTTCTCTTTAAATATCTTTAAACATATTCTTTCCCCAAAAACACTGCTGTTGCCAGATCCCAAGTCTTGGATGAGAAAAGTGGAGGGTTGCGTTAGGTAGTCAACAATTTGCGTAAAGCTTATCGAATAATCATGACATGAATCCTTTAATTCATTGTGTTAATGTTAGGACGTTATTTGGAAGTGACAGTTGTATGGCCTGAATATAGTAACAAGTGAGCAAGGGCCATTGCACCGGCGCCTGGGTGCAGTGTTAAATAGTCAAGGGTTTCCACATCATAGATGTATGTGGGCAAAAAAGCTAGTTCATGAAACTAAAATTAGGATAAAAAACTTGGAATATAGATTCCCTTACAGGTAAATTAATGGAGTTAATAGATATTATGATTCATAGGAAGATAAATATTCTTTACATTCATGAAACTAAATGGGTTGGAGAGAAGTTAAGGAGATTGATAGTTTAGGATTTAAACTATAGTATTCTGGTAGGAGTCGTATTAGAAATGGTGTAGGTGTGATTATATATAAGAGTTTAAAGGATGATGTTGTAAAAATTAATAGAATTGGAGATAGAATTATAGTTTTAAAGATTATTGTTGATACTAAGATTACTATTATTATAAGCGCTTATGCTCCTCAAGTAAGTTTGGATATATATTCAAAATTAAAATTTTGGAATGACCTAGAAGAATTAATACAAATGACACTTCTCGAACAAAGAGTTTTTATTGGAGGAGATTTAAATGGACATGCTAGTAGAGATGTAGATGATTTTAAAAACATTCATGGTGGCTATGACTTTAAAGCGACTAATGAAGGTGGTAAGACCATATTTGATTTTTCTTTACCTTATGATTTTGTAATTTCTAATACCTTATTTAAGAAAAGAGAAGAGCATCTCATCATTTATAAGAATGGATATAGTAAACTCATATTGATTATTTTCTTATAAGAAAAATAAATCATTTAGATTTCAAAAATTGTAAAGTTATTTCGAGTGAAAGTTTATGTACCTAACATCACTTATTAGTTTTGGACTTCAAGATGAAGGGACAAAAAATTAAAAATAAACTAAATTGTTGTTCAAGTGAAGTGTATTAAGGATGAAGATAAAAAAGTGCTTTTATTAGAAAAGGATATTCAACAAAGGTGGATGAGATATTTTGCTGAACTTTTTAATGAAGATTATGAGAATGCAATTGACTTTAGTGACCTTAGTACCCTAAATGAAAATAAAAATAATTTTGTTTTTATCGACGTATTATTAAAATCGAAGTTAAAGATGTTTTAAAGAAAATGAAGTGTCGAAAAGTTGTTGGAGTTGATGATATCCCAATAGAGGTGTGGTAATGCGTAGGAGATGAAGGAATTTCTTGACTTGCTAAACTTTTTAATATTATTTTGAAGACTAAAAGATGATTGATGAGTGAAGAATGAGTGTATTGATTCCTATTTTTAAGAATAAAGGTGATGCACAAGATTATGCGAATTATAGAGGAATTAAATTAATTTGTCATACTTTAAACTATGAGAGAGTTATGGAGCATAGGTTGCGGCGTGACATTAATGTTTCTCAAAATCAATTTGCATTCATGCCAGGTAGGTCTATTATAGAAGCTATATATTTATTGAGAGGTTTGATGGAGAAGTATAGAGAGAATAAGGAGTATCTACATATTATTTTTATTGATGTAGAGAAATCATATGATAAAGTTCTAATAGAAGTGCTATGGAGAGTTCTATATAAGAAAGGGGTTAATAATCCTTATATTCAAGTCATTAAGGATATGTATGCAGGAGCTATTACTTGTGTTCAAACACAAGGTGGTTTGACCAAGTATTTTTCTATTTCAGTTGGATTACATCAAGGATTAGCCTTAAGCCCCTATATTTTTGCTTTAGTCATAGATGTTCTCACTATACATTTGCAAGAGGTTGTACCCTGGTGTATGCTTTTTGCTGATGATATTCTCCTTGTTGATAAGACTAGAGAGGGAGTTGAAAGTAAACTTGAATTATGGAGGTTAACCTTAGTGACTAAAGGTCTTTGTGTGAGTAGATTTAAAACCGAATACATGGAGTGCAATTTTAGTAGTAATAGATCTAGTGGGGGGATTCTGACTTTGAGTGAATAAGAGTACACATTTTAAATATTTTGGGTCTATTGTTCAGAGTGATGGTGAAATAAATAGGAGAATATTATTAGTATAATTCAAGTTGGATGATTGAAGTGGAGGAATGCATCGGACATGTCGTTTGATAGAAAAGTACCCCTCAAATTTAAAGGAAAATTCTATAAGATGATGGTGAGACCTATAATGCTTTATTGTGCATAATGTTGGCCATTAAAAGGGAAGCATAATATTAAGCTAAGTGTTGCAGAGGTGAGGATGCTTAGGTGGGTGGTGGCTTTACTCTTAGAGATAAAATATGAAACGAGCTTTTACATTAAAAGGTTGGAGTAGCTCCAGTGGTAAATAAGATTAGAGAGAGTCGCATTAGATGGTTTGGTCACATAAAACATCGGCCTTTCAATGACCAGGTTGGAGAGTAGATGTATTAGGTTTGGCTTATGTTAAGAAAGGTAGAGGTAGAATTAAAAAGACTTGGTTAGAAAATATTAGAAATAACCTTTCTTTATTAGATTTAAATGAGAATTTGGCTCTTAACAATATACAATGGAGATAAATGATTCATGTAGCCGACCCGACATAGTGGGATAAAGGCTTGATGTAGTAGTAGTTGTTGTATATATATATATATATATATATTATTGCAAACTACTTTATGTGTTCTTAAATTTGATTGCTTATGCAATGCATATGTGCATGCATGTGTTATCTTCAACTGTGGTAAATAATCCTTGTACAGACAACCTGCTCACTTTCTGTGTATATAATGGGCTCATCCATTTTGCTTATTCTATTTATTGTAGTGTTCTTTGTTCTTTCCTATGCAGTGTTGAGAATTCAGAATATTTGTCTGATCTTTTGAAAGACCAGCAAATTCCACACAATGTTCTTAATGCAAGGCCGAAGGTTCTTTAAAATAAAGTTTACATTTATCTAGTTTGTAAACTCATTTGTTTTCTTAACTAACGTTCTGATTTTCTAATGCTTGTATTAGATATTGCAGTTTTTGTTCCTAAATTTTAAATCAAACTTCTTTCAGTACGCTGCAAGGGAAGCTGAGATTATTGCACAAGCAGGCAGAAAATATGCCATAACAATTTCTACTAACATGGCGGGCAGAGGTACTGATATAATCCTTGGTGGTAATCCTAAGGTATGTTGGATGTTATAAATATATTTCATAGAATCCATGCTTGCCTAAATGCGAGTTACATTGGTATGCTTATGGGAAATTCATTATTTCTTGATCCTCTGGTAGAGCTTACCTCACTTGTGGATATGTTCCAAACTTGAACCAATTTATGCTGTCTTGTTTCATCAAGTGTTTTTCATCTTTTGCTTCAAAGATGCTTGCCAAAGAAATTGTGGAGGATAGCTTGCTTCCTTTCATGACAAAAAAAGCTCCAAATTTGGAAACAGATGGGGTGCCAATCTCCCAAAAGGTGGCTACTTGGTTCTTTCTATGACGAGTGCAGCAAGCATGTATGTGTAGGCTATTTTTTTTCTTTGACTTATCTCTGTATTTCTTCATTTAAATTTGAAACAGGGTCAGTCACAAATAAAGGTTGGACCATCCTCATTAGCATTGATTGCGAAGGCTGCACTTATGGGTCAGCACTTACTCTAATTGTACCAAATACTCGTTTGTAATTAATCTGTCTCTTACAAGACCCTCAATTTTCTAATGAACTAATTTTCAAGCTATTTATATAGGAAAAAGCATTATGCTTGAGTTTGCTTATTTTATATTTGCAGCCAAATATGTATGCAAAAGTGAAGGAAATAGTTGGTCATATCAGAAGGCTAAATCTGTAATTTTGAAAGCCATTGAATTGAGTCAATCAGTTGAAATTGAAGAACTGGAAAAGCAGATCGCTGAAGAAGCTCAGATGTATCCTCTTATTCCTACAATAGCATTTGCATATCACACAGTTCTCAAAGATACTGAAGTACATTGTTCTGGTAAAGGCAATGAAGTGAAAAAGCTGGGTGGACTTCATGTGATTGGAACATCTCTACATGAGTCTCGGCGAATAGATAACCAGGTGATTTACTGTTATTCCCACATCTATAGTTGTATTACACATGCTAATGTATACATATGCTTTAAATCTTGATTTTTGAACCTGAATCAGGGTTTCATTATCTTGGTTTGTCATAGCTAAATACTTTTTCCTGGGTGTGCTAATAGTTTCTGCCTGTGATAGAGCTGCATGGAAAGATACTTCAGCTACTGCATAATATAAATTATATCGGTTTCAAGTGGCGTTAGTAAAAATGCTATATTGATCTGTATAGATAGGGTCACCCAATCTTCCATAGTTGTTTTGGTTTGGTTTGTTTTCTAAATCACATTCCGGGCAAATGAATGGCCTAAACTTTTTTTATGTTCATGAAAAGCACTCACAGGATATCACGGTTTATTTAATGTAATGATACTAGGAGCCTAGTGAAGACAAACAAAGTCATATTTATGGATATAAAGGCGTATAGTGAGGTTAATGAGCTTCCCAGGTTTTTAATTGGTAACAATGTCCGGCGGAATCATTTAGACATATTAAAAAAAGTTGTCACATGCAAATTCAGCGATATGTTGCAAAAATACCAAACATTGTAGCAAATTTTTAAATTACTGTTATGAACCACCCTATTCCACCCATTTAGTCGATGGTGGTAAGATGTAATAGATTGAGGCTTATCACACATCTTCTTAAGAGCTTGTGAGAATAAGCTCATGAATCTGACATCCTTGTTTGATATTTTTGGAGGATCATGAATCTAACAAGCTCACCAATGTCAAGTTTCAGCCTATGCAATGCGTTACTTTTCTTGTTGTATGGGATGAATATTGCCATTATAGAAAATTGCTCTACCACAACAAAAACAAAGTCTTGATGTCTAAAGGGGTTAGGGATAGAAAGTAAAAAATCTATGCTAATGCTCTTTCAAGGTGACTGAGAAATGAGCATCTAAGTAAAAAAAAAAAAAAAAAAAAAATTCTTTCCTTGCCAATCAACAAGTGAAACATTCAGCAACAATACTCGCCACTTTGCACTTGATTACAAGTTAATAGAACTTTTTCAGAAGCAATAGCCTAATCTTGTCCAAGTTGTTGCTCCCTAGTCCCTTCAGATGTTGCAACTAAATAAGTGTTTCCTCTAATGAAGAATTATAAAATTTATGTTATATTAGGAGGATCACTTGTCTTAACATCGTAGACAGAGACATGTCTTGGAACCTGGCAGTTAGGTCTATATCGGGTGACACTGTCAAGCCCAAACACTGTAATATCCATGGTGTGTAGGATGGTGTTAATTCTACCAAGTCCATAAATACGGTTGTTCTAAAACTGATGACAAAAATTCTTACACATAACCTTTTGAATTTTCCTCATATGTGATGATCCTCCCTCATTTTACCATAAAACAAAATCTATTGGAAATAAGCAAGGAAGAGATGAATAAAATGGAGGGAATGAGTTATCACTTGTGAACTTGCTTGGACGTTGGCTTGCCCAAGGGCATAACCAACGGCTCATAAAGCTACCTTCGTCTTAAAGGTTGTTTTAAACTTACCTCCCATGTTGACAAGAATCTGTTAGTAATAATTTTTAAAATTATATATTCAAAGAGATCACTAATCGAACCATTATCAAACATGGCATCAAGCTTAGTCATGGAAACCTATACTTGATAAATTTCTTTACTATCTATCTATGATGCACCGATACTCCGCTTAAAGAGGGTATGCAGTGTCGGACACGTGTCGGACACGGACACGCGTCGGACACGGCATTGGTGTGTCGGAATTTAAAACATTAAAATTTAAATCGGACACACGTGTCCGACACGCGTGTCCGGTTGTTAAATGATAAAATCGTCCGTTCTATTTAGCCTTTTCCATGAACGAGAAGCCTTATTTTTTCGATTCACGAAAGAAATCTTCCAGGGCGGACCGGGAGAGCTCGCAGTCGACGCCAAACGGAGCCCGCAGCCTTCGCCTCCTGTTCCTTCGTCATTTCTGCTTGGCCAAGCAGAGCTCGTCTTTCCCATTCCTTCGTTCTTGCGTTATTTCTACTATCATCCGAGGCAAAGTTCGCAATCAAGGCCAAACAGAGCACATTCTGCGTGCAAGAGAGCCAAGACCTGTAAGTGGATTTCGCCATTTTTTATCTTCATTGTTGAAAAACCTAATGTACATGCTCGGTACCGCTCAGTATTGCTAGGTACATGCTCGGTACCGCTCAGTATATGCTCGGTACTGGTAGGTACATGCTCTGTACTGGTAGGTACATGCTCGGTACTGCTCGGTACATGCTCGGTACTGGTAGGTACATGCTCGGTACTGGTAGGTATATGCTCGGTACTGCTAGGTACATGTTCGGTACCACTCGGTATCTTCGCATACAAACAACTTACAAAATTACTCGGTACCACTCGGTCGAACCCACCAAGGGGCAGCGTCTCCTTGGACCCCCGGCAGACCGGTATATTGTTGTATTCATGTTGTGATTTTTTTATTTCACTTCATATCAATTTAATTCGATGTATTCATATGCATGATTGGTTTGTTAGCAAAATGAGCTCAGTTGCTGGCAGGAGTGGATTAGATGAAGGTTCAAAAGATCCATCTGTAGAAACTGATAAGCCATTATGGATTCATGTTACAAAGTTAGAAAAAATATTTGAAGGAGGAGGGAATGTGTAATTCAAATGTAATTATTGTGGTGGCACCTACAAAGGATCTTATTCTAGGGTGAAGGCACATCTACTTAAAATTTCTGACCATGGAATAAAAATGTGTCCTAAGATTACTACGTCGCAGTTGATTGAATTGAACAGACAAGTTGATGAAGTTGAATCTAGGATCCAAAGGACACTCCCTAAAGAGGTACCTTTGCCATCTACTTATGGCTCATCTCACTCTTCTTCATCATCTGTGAGAGTTGATCAAGCTTTATCATTTAGAAGTGAAGGATATGAAACAAAGAAAAGAAAATGAGTAGCCAGTAGTCCTATAGAGAAGGCTTTTAATTTGCAGCAGCGAGATGAATTGGATGGTAAAATAGCAAGGATGTTTTTTTCAGCGGGACTTCCTTTCATCCTTGCAAGGAATCCTCATTATAAAAATGCATTCATTTTTGCATGTAACAACAACCTCGCAGGATATGTTCCACCTGGCTATAATGCATTAAGATCGAAATTATTGGAAAGAGAAAGAGCGCATATTGAGACATTGCTTGAACCAACAAAATGAGTGTGGAAAGAAAAATATTTTAGTTTGGTGTGTGATTGTTGGACAGATCCTTAAAGAAGACCCCTTATTACTTTTATGGCCGTTACAGAGAATTACCTAATGTTCATTAAAGCAGTGAATTATGAAGGAGAATACAAGAATAAACATTTTATTGCCAATTTGATTAAAGAGGTGATAGTCATGATTGGGCCTTCAAATGTTGTGCAGATTATTACAGATAATGCGCCGGTGTGTAGAGCTGCAGGATTATTGGTGGAGCAAACTTATCCCCATATATTTTGGACACCCTGTGTTGTGCACACTTTAAATCTTGCTCTAAAAAATATTTGTGCAGCAAAGAATACAGAGGCTAATGAAATCATCTATGCTGAATGTCATTGGATAACAGTGGTTGCAGATGATGCTGTTCTGATCAGAAATTTTATTATGAACCATTCTATGAGACTTTCAATGTTTAATGATTTCTCCCACTTGAAAATGCTAGCTGTTGCTGAAACTCGTTTTGCCTCTGTAATAATCATGTTGAGAAGATTCAAACAAATTAAAAATGCTCTTCAATCTATGGGGATTAGTGAGAAGTGATAATTTTATATGCTTTGTATTATTTGAAGGTATTCAAGTAAATAATGGCTTCAAGAAGACCCTCAATGTGTCTCACCAAAAAAAGATTTAGAAGTTTCAAATATGAGAAATATATGCTTGAAACGATATTATTTTCCAAATGAGGAGAGAAGAAAAATTAATATAGAACTTGCAAAAGTTCTTTGGATATTTAGAGGATTTTGGTGATCAAGAATCTTTGGTTGATAGATGGAGGATGGATCCAAAAATATGGTGGTTGATTCATGGAGCTTCAGCACCGCTTCTTCAAACAATAGCAATAAAACTTCTTGGTCAAGTATCATCCTCTTCCTGTTGTGAGAGAAATTGGAGCACATACTCATTTATTCAATCAATGAAGAGGAATAAAATAACTCCACAACGTGCTGAAGATTTAGTTTATGTGCATACAAATCTTCATCTTCTATCAATGAAAACCCCACTTTATATGACAGGTGATAACAAGATGTGGCATGTTGCTGGAGATGGGTTCGAGTGCCTTGTTGTTATGGGATTATTAGAGGTTGCAAATCTTTCTCTAGATGAACCAGAGTTGGAAGCAATGATATTCAATGATGATGATATTGAAGGCCAAAGACCAATATCTGAATCTAATTCTATCATTCCCTCTATTGAGTAGTTGACCTTCATGTTATATTAAATGATTTTTTGCTTATATTTTTCTGTTTGTACTAGACATTTTGTGCTAAACATCTTTATGTTATAAGCTAAACAAGTTATCATGAAATTGATTTATTATTGCTTGACATTTTTACTATAATGTCACCTTAATTTTTATATATTATATTATAAAATTATTATGCCGTGTCCACATCCTATATTTTTAAAAATTGCCGTGTCCGTGTAGTGTCATGTCCATGTCGCTGTGTCCGTGTCGGTGCATCATAGCTATCTATACTTATCTACTTTCATCCTTCTTGGGTTTGAGAAATGGAGAACAATACAAAGGCCTAATATATCCCTACTAATTCCTATGATAATAGTTTATTCAATATCCTTTTAAGTTCTTCTATATTGGTATGCTTCATCATGCATCATCATCAATATCCTTTTCCCAACTATTTTAATTCGGCTTTAAGAATTCTCATTTTTCATTTGTTTCTATTGATTGATGTTTGAGGTGATAAACCTGAGATTCAAAAATTATTTTGAATAATTTTTACCTATATT